GGGTCAGAGGACAAACAGCAACAAGCATGGGCAAAGGAATTCTAGGTAATGAGGTGCAGCTGGACTGCTGGGGCGCTGATGGAAGCTAGAAGCTGGAAAACAGGGATAAGCAAAAGGAGTCTTGTACCCAAGTCAGAAGCACTGGGGAAAAGTTCTGCCCTGGAATCACCAAAGAATGTTCAGGGGCCTAACATGATCAGATCTGCATGTTACCATGATCACTGCAGCTGCAATTCAGAGGCTGATTTGGAAGGAGACACTGGGGACTGAAAAACCTATTAAGACAACTGGAAGGATCCAGGTAGCAGTGGGGATGGAAAAAAGGGAGACGGGTTCAAAATACAAATTAAGAACAGAATTGGTAAGACTTGGTATGAGCATAAGAAGAGGGGAAACCTAGGAGGGCTCAGAGTTAGCTCTAGCAACTGAAGAAATAAAAGAATGGTGATAACACGTAGGCAGGATCAAGAGTACACGACCCCAAATGCACAGCCTGGGTCTTTATTCTAAGAGCAATGGAAAGTAGGACAGGGACAGAACTTTAAAAAAAAGGTAAAAACCTAAATAGATCTTTAATCACAGAGAAGAAACCAGAAAACACTGCCAAAGATCCACACACTCCCCCCAAATTGCACCAGGCCAAGATGATTTGAGAGACAGGTAATTTCAATGTTATGGAAGCTTTTCAATTTATTCTACGAGGCTAAACAACCCCGATACCAAATCTGACAAAGAAAGAACACACACACTGTTTTTTACATACAGAACTACAGAGAAATTTTTATTATAAACAAAAATGCAAAACCCAATATAAAAAATAAAATACTAAGTCCAACATTAAGTTTTAAAAATTATAAAACATGAACCCATGGTAGAGATCTGTTAACATATTCATTAGGTGGGCGCCTGGGTGGCTCAGTTGGTTAAGCGACTGCTTCGGCTCAGGTCATGATCCTGGAGTCCCGGGATCGAGTCCCGCATCGGGCTCCCTGCTCGGCGGGGAGTCTGCTTCTCCCTCTGACCCTCCCCCCTCTCATGTGCTCTCTCTCTCTCATTCTCTCTGTCTCAAATAAATAAATAAAATCTTTAAAAAAAAAAAAAAACATATTCATTAGGTTAGTAAATTAATGGAATGGAACCAAATCATCATGAAGATAGAAGCCAAAAGGCATGTGTTTTATTTTGTTGTTTTTTGACTTGTTCCAAGAATTACTATCAAAGTGCATGCACTTGAGCCAGAGACCCTGGCCGCTTGTGTAGCATACTACCTACACTGCTTCTGAGTCCACCAGCCAGCCAGTGGCCTAGACTCCAAGCTCTAACAATGTGCACCCTACACCCGTTCTGAATTAAGACTTCTCAGTAAACTACTAAAAAGAATGTTTTTCTAATGCAATAAGATGAATTTATCAAGGAAACAACACCTCTTCTGTAGTATTCAGGCCAAGAATAATACATAACTTGAATTTAATCATGAGGAAACATCAAACAAACCGAATGAGGAACATCCTTAAAAAAAAAAAAAAAAAGAGGACTCTATTCTTCAAAAATATCAATGTCACAAAAGACAAAGGCTAAAAGAATATTTCCAGGTTAAAGAAGACAAAGGAAACAGGACAACTAAATGTTATGTGTGACCCTAGACTAGATCCTGCACTAGAGGGGGAAAGATGCTAAAAGATGCATTACTGATCAACTGATAAAACTTTATTTGTAATAGCCAAAAACTGAAAACAACCCAGATGTGCCCTTCAGCAGATAAATGGTGAAACAAGCTGTGGTACGTTCATGCCATGAAATACTACTCACAATAAACAGGAACGAACTATTGATATATACAATAACCTGGATGAACTGCAAGGGAATTATGTGGAGTGAAGCAATCTCAAAGGTTATGTACTGTATGGTTCCATTTATAGTATTCTTGAAATGACAAATCAGAGAGAGAGAGGAGAGTGTCACGGTTGCCAAGGGTTAAGAAGGCAGAGAGGGAGGGAGATGGCTGTAGCTATGAAAGGGTAGCCCAGGAGATTCTTGTGCAGGACCTATTTTGTATCTTGACTGCACTGGTGGTCACACAGATCTACAGATGTGACAGAATACACACACACACACACACACACACCCCCCAGTACAACTAAAACTAATGAAATCAAAATAACATGGGTGGATTGTATTGACATCAATTTCCTAGTTGTGATATTATGGTTACACATGAGGAAACTGGGTGAAATATCCACAGGATCTCTCTGTATTTCTTCTTACAACTGCATGTGAATCTACACGTATCTCAAAGTAAAAAGCTTAATTTAAAAATAAAGTTTAAAAAGCAAAAAACTTAAAACAAAAAATAACTTACAATTGTGAAGCACTAGAAGCATTCCTATTAACTTAAGAATAGGAAAAGGATGCCAGCTATTATAGTGTTATTTAATATCATTCTAAAGGCACTAGTCATTGCTATAACCAAGACCATATAAACATTAGAAAAGAGGCAAAAGATCAATGATAAATGAAATCCCTGCTACTTAGAAAATCCAGCACAATCAAAAGTATTAGAATGAGTTCAGACACTACTAAATTAATAGCCTTTTTATTATATCCCACTAATACTAAATTAGAAAACTGGGCAATAAAGAACTTGATTCTATTTTTAATTCTTTACCTAAGTCATATATAACTATTTTTTAAATATTTAAAAAACTGTCCCAGGAATATAATGACTATGTGTCTATAATAAGCTTCTCCAAACATATTCTCCAATTCTCCCCACTGAGCACCGTATTTGTTCTCTGATTTGCTGCATCTCAGTCTCTAGTCCAACCTTTACTTCAGAAGCCAAAAGCTAAAAAGTAGATTCAAAAATGTTTTCCAGTTCCCCAAGGCCTCAAATACTTTGCACAAGTCTAAGTCAGTTGTAAGGGATGAGGATCTAAGGTTCCTTCCAGCTCAGAATCTCCATCTTGCTAGGAGCCAGAATCCCTTTAATCAGTTCCAAGAGACTCAGTGTGAGTTCTTGTGCAGCCCTCAGGACCATCTCTCCACTTCATGAGGCTTCCCTCTCCCAGGAATTCCAAGTTCTTAGTCAGTGACACTCACTCTAGAGTAGACCCACATTAATCCACCCATTTTTAGTCCAGGCCTCTCACAGTAGCCACCATTTCAAACTCCAGCCATTTCTAAACCACTATCAGCTAATCCATGTCCTCCAGTGGATCCCTGTGCCATAAATCCTCTGTGAAAGCCAAGACAGTTTTTTTCACTCTATAGACAGAAGTGCTTAGCTCCAGGTCTTCAATATACAAGAAATATCCTCAGTTAAGAAGCAAGATAAGGGGTGCCTGGATGGCTCAGTTGGTTAAGCGTCTGCCTTCAGCTCAGGTCATGATCCCAGGGTACTGGGATCGAGCCCCGCATTGGGCTCCCTGCTCTGCGGGGAGCCTGCTTCTCCTTCTCCCTCTCCCTGCTTGTGCTCTCTCTCTCTCTCTCTCTGTCAAATAAATAAATTAATTAAAAAAAAAAAAAAGGAAGGGGGCGCCCAGGTGGCTCAGTTGGTTAAGCAAAACTGCCTTCGGCTCAGGTCATGATCTCAGGGTCCTGAGATCGAGCCCCACATTGGGCTCCCTACTCAGCGGGAAGCCTGCTTCTCCCTTTCCTACTCCCCCTGCTTGTGTTCCCTCTCTCTTTGTCTCTCTCTCTCTGTCAAATAAATAATTAAAAAAAAAAAAACAGCAGCAAAGATAAATAAATAATAAAGCTAAGAAACACATCGAAATTTGTAAATAATGTATGAGTAAGGTGTCAATTCAGATCAGTGGAATAAAGATAGATTTCTCACTAAATGGTGGTGGAACAATGGTCAACTACATAGGGGAAGGAAATGAATTGCCCCACACCAAATCTGATGGATTAAAGAAGTGACCACAAAATATGAAATGATAAAAAGATTAATAGATTCAATTGCAAAAAATTAAAATATGTAAGTATTGAACACACACCATATCATAAACAAATATAAAAGCAAATATCTTGCTTCCCATGTTAGGTAAATTACTCCAAAGTACAGAAAAAGATGAGGGGTGCCTGGGTGGCTCAGTTGGTTAAGCATCTGTCTTCAGCTCAGGTCATGATCCCAGGGTGTGGGGATTAAGCCCCCTGTCAGGCTCTCTGCTCAGTGGGAGCCTGCCTATCCCTCTGCCCCCCCCCCCATGCTTACATGCTCTCTCTCAAATAAATAAAATCTTAAAAAAAAAAAGAAAAAGATGAAAAACTCCCTAACATGCTAAATGTTAACTGTATTCTAGATTTCAAACCCAAACAAGGAAAGCACATAAGCAATAATAATAGTAATATAGGACAATCTCACTTATGAACACAGATGGAAAAATACTAAATAAGATATTAACAAACTGAATCCCAACAGCATATGGAAGATCATGCTCAAGATATATTCTAAGAGAATCTACATATTAATATGATTTACTACATAGTAACAGGGGGAGGTGGACAGCTTAATAAATGCCCAACAAAAAACATTATACAGTTTATCACCAATTAGTATTAAGCAGCATTAAAAAAAAAAAAAAAACCTTAGCAAATAAAGAAATAGTGCGAAAAAAGTCACGGTACCTGGGTGGCTCAGCCGGTTAAGCATCTGCCTTTGACTAGGATAGAGCCCCTCATCGGGTTCCCTGCTCAGCAGGGAGTCTGCTTCTCCCTCTCTCTGCCCTCCCCCCCACTTGTGCCCTCTCTCTCTCTCTCAAATAAATAAACTAATTAAATATTTTTAAAAAATAAGTCAGAAACAGTAAACATTGTACTTAGTGGTGTAATGTTAAAGTTCAGAAAGGATATCACCAACAACTCAACACTGTACCAGAGAGGTCCTCATCGATGTAATCAAAAAAGTTGGTAAAAAGAAGAAATATTGGAAAAGAGACTAGGTTTTCAATATTTACAGATAATATCACTATCTAGAAAATCTCAAAGGATATACTCACAATTTATTAAGACTCATGATTTCAGCAAGAATGCAGAAAGGGTAGATCCAAAATCAACAAATAAGTTATCACTAACGTTCCTATATGCCCACAATAATCTAAAAACAAAACAGAGAGAAAGATTAATTCTAAGTAGTAACCAAAATCACAAAATGCCTGAGGATAAAATTAATAAGACTGATATAAGATCTAAATTAAATTTTTAAATTATTTTTTAAAACACAGAAGACCTAAACAAAGAAACAAACCCTGCTCTTGACCAGAAAGACACAATATTATAAAGATGTCAGCTGTAAATTGATTAAAAAATTACAATGTAACCACAATTAAATTCAAATCATGACTTTTTTATAGAAATTGACAATCTCATCTTAACAATCAAATGGAAGAAAAAAGGCAAAGGATGCAAATGGACATTACTCCAAAGAAGATATATTCAAGGCCAAAAAACTCATGAAAACATGTTCAACATCATTAGCCATCAAGAAAATGTAAATCAAAACCACAATGAGGTCCCCTTCACACTCACTCAGAAGGCTATAACAAAACAAAACACAAACCAGAAAATAACAAATATTGGCAAGGATGTGGAGAAAGTGGAACTTTCATAAATTCCTGGTAGATATGTAAAATGGTTCAGCCACTATGGAAAACAGACTGGACGTTCCTCAAAAAGTTAAACATGGGATTACCATATGACCCAGCAACTCCAGTTCTAGGCATATACCCAAAAGAGTTGAAAATAATTATCCAAACAAATACTTATACACACATGTTCATAGCAGAACTATTCATAATAGCCAAAAGGTGGAAACAACCCAAATGTCCCTCAATGGATAAATAGTGGCATATACATAAAATGGAATCTTTTTTAGCCATAAAAATGAGTGTATCTGAAGGAATGAGCCCATGTTACAACATGGATGAAACTTAAAAACATTATACTAAGTGAAAAAAGCCAGACAGACACGAGGTCACATATGATTCCATGTATATGAAATATCCAGAATAGGTAAATGCACAGAGACATAACAGATTGATGGTTGCCAGAGGACAGGGAGAGGGAAGGAGCCCTGGGTCAGGCTCTCTGCTCTGCGGGGAGTCTGCTTCTCCCTCTCACTCTCCCTCTGTGTTCCTGCTCTTGCTCTCTGTCCCTCTCAAATAAATAAATCTTTTAAAAAAAAATCCAAGGATTTATATACAGAATATGTCAAGATGTCAAGACCTACAAATCAATATGAAAGAAGCAACCCAGTTAAAACAAAGTTAAACAAACAAACAAAAAAGAACAGACAAAAGATAGGAACAGTCAAAAAAAACTGAAATTTAATTGGCTAGTCTTTGCATAGGCATGGTATTATTCTTATGTGCAGTCAGGATAAAGAACCCCAAAACCATACCTATTTGAGGAATGGGGAGTGTCCGGGCTGCCCAAGGTACAGAAGAAGGGGAAAGACAGGAAAAATAAGCCACCTTCAAGGACTTCTACCCACTCACTAAGGTATGGCCCTCAGAGATGGGTTCTGGAGCGCATGGAGATGGAAGGTCTTAAAGGAAACTGGTTTATTTGTATCCAGTCAGAAAGCATTATCTTTTTTTTATTTCTAAAAGGCAGAAACATATGAATCTTATTCTTTATGAGACTGTGAGGAAAATTATTAAGAAATAAATTTATGTGGGCGCCTGGGTGGCTCAGTTGGTTAAGCGACTGCCTTCAGCTCAGGTCATGATCCTGGAGTCCCAGGATTGAATCCCGCGTCGGGCTCCTTGCTCAGCGGGGAGTCTGCTTCTCCCTCTGACCCTCCCCCCTCTCATGCTCTCTCTATCTCATTCTCTCTCAAATAAATAAATAAAATCTTTAAAAAAAAAAAAAAGAAATTTATGCTCCTAAGTACAAGCAGGCCAGGATTCATTATTGGCACAATGTGACCAAAGCAGACACACATAATGTTCTAGGGAGAAGCAAATCACTGAAAAATATCTGTATTGTGATTCCATTTTACAAATTTCAAAAACATGCAAAAATTAAAAAACAGTTTAAGGATACAAAGGATGTCGGGCGCCTGGGTGGCTCTGTTGGTTAAGCGACTGCCTTCAGCTCAGGTCATGATCCCAGGGTCTTGGGATCAAGTCCCACATCGGGCTCCTGGCTCAGCGGGGAGCCTGCTTCTCCCTCTGACCCTCTCCCCTCTCATGCTGTTTCTCTCCCACTCACTCTCTAATAAATAAATAAATAAATAAAATCTTTAAAAAAAAAAAAAAGGATACAAAGGATGTGGTTCAAGTATAAAGAAAATACAGGGCGCCTGGGTGGCTCAGATGGTTAAGCGTCTGCCTTCGGCTCAGGTCATGATCCCAGCGTCCTGGGATCGAGTCCCGCATCGGGCTCCCTGCTCCTTGGGAGCCTGCTTCTCCCTCTGCCTCTCTCTCTCTGTCTCTCATGAATAAATAAATAAAATCTTTAAAAAAAAAAAAAAATACAAAACTCAGGTTACCTCTGAAAGGGAAAAGAAGGGGTAGGATTACAAACAAGAACATAGATCTTCAACAGCAATGACATTTTTTCCTACACTTGGTGGTTGTTATATGGATACTCATTGCCCTATTATTCTGCATACCTTACATATATGTTTCATACATTATTTTATAACTTCTCAGTATTAATAAAAGACCATAATTTAAAAACAAAAAAACAATGTGGGACTAAAAAGGCACAGCATAATAAGTCAATCAGAGAAAGACATGTATCATATGATCTCACTGATATGAGGAATTCTTAATTTCAGGAAACTGAGGGTTGCTGGAGTGGAGGGGGTGGGAGGGATGGGGTGGCTGGGTGATAGACACTGGGGAGGGTATGTGCTATGGTGAACGCTGTGAATTGTGTAAGACTGATGAATCACAGACCTGTACCTCTGAAACAAATAATACATTATATGTTTAAAAAAAAAAAAAAAAGAAGATAGTAGGAAGGGAAAAATGAAGGGAGGGGAATCGGAGGGGAAGACGAACCATGAGAGACTATGGACTCTGAGAAACAAACTGAGGGTTCTAGAGGGGAGGGGGCTGGGGGGATGGGTTAGCCTGGTGATGGCTATTAGAGGACATGTATTGAAATAAAAAATGAAAAAGAAAGAAATTCAGATATAGAGATATAACATTATATTTTTGTACATCAAATATAAGGTTATATTTTGCAAAAAAAAAAAAAACTAATGATGTAATGTATGGTGACTACCATAACATAATAAAATAAAATTTTAAAAAAAAGGCACAGCATATAGCCAATGATCTTGTAACAGCTTTGTTATGGTGACAGATGGTAGCTACACTCGTGGTGAGCACAGCACAATGTATAAAGAAATTGGATCATTATGTTGTACACTTGAAACTAATGTCACATTGTGTGCCAACTATACTCAAATAAAAAAAGTAAAACAAAAAAACACTGTACAGATTGCATGTAAAGACATATATATATAGCCTCTTAATTCTAGATTCAATGTTTGCCACCGAAAATCTGCTTGGTTCTGTCATCTCCTTCTAAGTAGACAACTTTCAGGAGTTAGCAAAATCCTTGATTTTCACCTTTTCTTCTGAAGCTGCATTAGCAAGGAGATTCATGGGTGTAGGGAGAGTTTACAACGAAGGGCAATGCACTCTTTGATCAAACTCACTGATTTCATTAGAACAGTACAAGATTACACAATGACCCTTAAATTGAAGCAGGATTCTGGATGCCTGAGGAAGTGGGATACTCTTTGCATATGGTAAGCTGACTGCTGAGACAATCGATAAATGAATTTGCACAAAGTATGCTGACTTCTTTGGAAGGAATTTTATGAATACAAGATTTAAGACTTCTTATACAATAAACAATGCAATCACAAGTAATAATAAAGTAGAACCAAGGGTACTAGAGTAAGAAAATGTTATTAATCAATCAATAAACCTGTGAATTATATACAAGACTGTACTAAGTAATGAAAAGAAATTTTAAAAGACACCATCCCTGTGTCAGAGGCATGTAGCAACTGGAGACAAGATATATTAAAAAGTGGTGTTAAAGCCAGACATCAAAAATACTCAACAATTCAGTCCAACCTCCCTAGTCATCTGCTTTCCATATTCAAACCCAATTCAGCTAAACACACGTCCCAATCTTCCAAACCCACACATTGCAATACACTCCTCTCCTCCTGAAATGCTTTACCCTCATTAGAACAACCTGCAAAATCTCAGGGTGTCTGGGTGGCTCAGTCGGTTAAGCGTCTGCCTTTGGCTCAGGTCATGATCCCAAGTCCTGGGATGGAGCCCGCATCGAGCCCAGCGCGCAATGAGCTCCTTGCTCAGCAGGAAACCTGCTTCTCTCTCTCCCTCTGCTGCTGCTCCCCCTGCTTCTGCGCTCTCTCTCTCTGTCAAATAAATAAATAAATAAAATTAAAAAAAAAAAGAACCTGCAAAATCTTACCTGTCCTTCAGGTTTCATCCCAAAAGCTTCCTGCATCCTTAGAAGTCTTTTTAATCTACATACTCCCTTATGATTTTGCATAATTCTTCTCTATTATGGTGCCTTCCCTACTATTTTTTAGTTCTATATTTGTCTTATTCTTCCTACTGAGGCAGGAGTAACAGAAAGAGCAGAAGTTGTGAAAAACCTAGATTTAAATCTGAACATTGTCTAACCCTGACCAAACCAAACTACCTTTCATAAGCCTGTTTCCAAACACACAAAATAAAGAAATTATTAAATATCTTGCATTACTTTATTTTTTTAAGATTTATTTATTTTAGAGACAGAGAGAGAGCAGGGGGAGGAGCAGAGAGAGAGGGACAAGCAGACTCTGCACTGAGTGCAGAATCTGACACAGGGCTTGATCCCACAACCTTGAGATCGTGACCTGAGCCGAAATCAAGAGTCGGATGCTCAACCAACTGAGCCACCCAGGCACTCCACATTACTTCCTTTAATAAATAGGGTGTGTGAGGGGCGCCTGGGTGGCTCAGTTGGTTAAGCGACTGCCTTCGGCTCAGGTCATGATCCTGGAGTCCCAGGATCGAGTCCCCCATCGGGCTCCCTGCTCAGCAAGGAGTCTGC